CACCAAAACCAAAATTTTATTGCAGATTCGGGGTCCTCTCGCCGAGCGCAGAACGACCCTGGTTTCAAAAGAAAAAAAAAAACAATTCTGGGCAGTTTTTTGTCCTGCCCGGTTTACCCGGCCGGGCCCCCCGGGCCCAACCGGCTGGGCCCAGCCCGGCAGGGCAGGCCCGGCCGGGCGACGTCCTCACTCGGAATTTTTTTAATTTTCTTCTGCTTACATAGTAATTAGGTCGTTTGAGTTCTTTTTTTTTTTTTTTTTTTTTTTTTTTTTGAGAAAACAGAACCTTTTGGTTCTGGCTCCTGCCATTCTGGGGAGCGACAGTCGGGTTCCTATTCCCCCGGCAAGTCAATATGGAAAACATGGGTGACTCACGCTCGCTCCTCCCCATTATGGCTGGGAGGTCCGAGTGGACGGCATTGATTACTTCCCTGAGGAAGGATGTACCACCCCTCACCCCTGCCTAATTTAGCCTGTGCTATTTGATCTGTCTGGCTGTTGCCAATCTGTCTGAACCCAGTCCCGCTCCTCTCAGCTGTGGTGCTGTCGGGTTATTGTGTTATGCTAGAGCGGTCTGGAATGTCTACGAGCCTCTTGAAATCTCTAAGATCCTAGGCCCTATATGCCTTGTTCCTGTCTAACCTTAAAACCTAAACCCTCAAGCTAAAACCCTGAACCCTTGTTGACTGTAGTGTGTTTTTATGGTCTGTCCCTATCCGAATTTTCTGTGTTGACGCTGTTGAATATGCCTATAGTTTCTTGGCGGGGTAGTTTGGGTGGGGGGGGCAGTGACTGAGGGGGTTTGTGCAGTGGTGAAGGTTTTGGGATTCTGGGTCGATGGGCTTGGGGTTATGGGCTTGGGACGGGAGAGCGAGGATAAATGTGGTAAGGGAGGGGCTGTGTTACAATTGGGGGGGAACCGGTTTTGTTGGAGTTGGGAATTTCTGAGGCGTGTAGGGGCACAATGTGGGGGTTCTCCGATGGTGTCCTGTTTTGTTGTGGTTAGTATGTGTGTGGGTGGGTTGGCTTGGGGGGTGTAGTGGGGTGTATGCTGCGCGTTGTTAGGGTTTTGTCCTTGGCTGATTGCTGAGGGCCAGGGTATCCAATTAGGAAATTTTATTCCATGGTTACCGCCCGGACCTCCGGACCGGTTTCCAGACACCCCCAAACATTTTGTAGGGGTCCGGTGTCCGGTACTGGACGTCCGGAACCGCCCCCCCCAGCAAAGAATCAAAAAAAAATAGGGGCCGCCAAGGACATTTTTCGGGTCCTCGGCCGCCCCGGAAAAATAGTGGGCCGATTTTTGTGAGTGTTCTCGGCCTACCGGACATTCGTTGAAGGCCGGACGCACCACAGTCTGCAGCAGACTCAGTAGGGGTGGCGGGAGGCAGGGCCAGCACTTTGAAACTGGCCGTTTTCGAATCTCGCGGCCTGCGCTTTACGGAAGCCGCCATCTGCTACCCGTCACGTCCCCACTGCAGCCGGCAGCCATCGACGAGGAAGCCGCCATCGCCCATGAAACAGCCAGCCGCCGCCAACGTCCAAGAAGCAGCCAGCCGCCGCCAACTTCCAGCCCTCGCCGTCGGACCAGCGAGCCGCCGACAACGTCCAAGGAGCAGGTCA